ATATGCTGTTGCCTGCTATATAACACTTCTAAAGCCCATCAGCTAGATGCCCATCTCTGTCACTCTGGACTTTGAAAAGAAGATATGTGCTGTCATGATCATCAGCAGAGAATAAAATCATGGGAAAAACTGGCAGCAGTAGCAGAACTGTCCTCAGGTCACCATCAAGTGACCCTGACTTCCCTCTGATCATCACCCCAACAAAGAATGAACTTTGATGAAATCAGACGAGTTCAGTGGTGTCGTCAGCAGGCAACAGTCCAACACTACACGCCGTCTCTCCTGCCCTGAAAGACTGCTACGACAGATGGAGCTTGACATGGACTTAATGAACTCGGCAAGCTTTACAGGGATAGTCTACGGACTAAAGAATGATATGTGTCTCTTTGTGTGTGTGTGTGTGTGTGTATATCTATGTCTGTATCACCAGACAAAAAGTGATGGCATAGTGGAATATGTGGGATCTGAGCATGAAGTGAATGGTATGGAATAAGGGGTGGATACTGTCCTGGGTACAGCTCTAACAGTCATTTTTCTCCTTCTTAGGGCAGTGCTGTGTTTTCGGCTTTGGCCTGAGAACAGTGCTCATAACACACTGATGTTTTTAGTTGTTGCTAAGTAATGCTTACCCTGATCAAGGACTTTTCGATCTCTCATGCTAGGGCCAAAAGAAGCTGGGAGAAGCAGAGACAGGACCCCTGACTCAAACTGGCCAAAGGGGTATTCCATACCACATCATGTCATGTCCAGTATATAAGCTGGGGGAGTTACCTGGAAGGGCAGATTACTGCTCAGGTTGGGCTGGGTATCAGTCAGTGGGTGGTGAGCAATTGTATTGTGCATCATTTGTGTTTATTGGGGTCTTTTTTCCTTCCCCTTTTTAGTATTATATTCTCTCCCCTTGTTATTTCCCTTATTTTTGTTATTGGTAGCAGTAGTGGTATGTATTATATCTTAGTTACTGGACTGCTCTTATCTGAACCCATGGGAGTTACATTCTTCCAATTCTCCTCCCCATCCCTCTGGGAGCGGGGGGAAGAATAAAGGAGAGGAGTGAGTAAGCGGCTGCGTGATTCCAAGTTACCGGCTGGGCTTAAACCACGACACTCTTTATAAAGTAAAATATAACTAAATAGAATGTTATTAATTTTATGCAAAAGTGACTAGATAAGCTATATAATTTTTAAAGTTTTCTACATGAACTGAATGACCTTTTTCTTCCTGTCTGCACTGAGCAAAATTTTGACTTTAAGTTTGGATTTATGAAAGAGGATTTTGGGAATATGTTAATTTCTTAGGATAATCATTGGAAACTCAGAAACTAAGCAGAAAAATCTGAATGTGTTTGGAAATTAGGTTGGGGCTATTATATGTGATCCATTGAAGGTGAGAGAAAGATTTACTCAAACTAAAAAGTAAAGGTTAATAAGAGTTAACCATTTGATTATTCTTTAAGCCCTGCTTTTGATTACAGATAGTATTGGAGCTTAAAATCTATTAAAAATGTATAAATCAACTGATACACTTTTGGTGTAACATTGGTATTCTGATGCCTTTTATTTTGTATCTGAACATTATCTGTTAGGCCTTTCTTTAACTTGTTAGAACAAAGGGCTGGAGATGGAGGGGTGAATGGTGAGGGAACAAGTTAGTATTTGATACTATCCAGAAATACCTAAAGAATCAGCCTTCCTTCCTTTAGCTTTCCTATCTTGAAACTGAAGGTGATCATGGAAGACCAAGTCACAGTATGAGCAAAATACAAAGCCTCTTTTAACAAACTTAAAATTATAGGCAGAGAAGTTAAAACCTTACCAATAGGTATACTTACTTTGTTCATACAGTTTGTCTCTCTTTTGCTAATATGACTAGCTGGGTGGGAGGCTTTCTTACTTAAGTTGGAGTTGGTCAGGGTGACTCAGCCTGAATCTTCAACTTGGATAGCATCACGCAAAGCAGTATATATCACAGTGCTTATCTGTAGGTCCAGTAGATGTTTCCAACTCTGAATCTTCTGTCCCTTCATTTGTTTTTAACTATGTATTGATCATTTAATCATTGTAAACTGTTTTTATCCAGAAATTTGCAAATTATTCTCATCTAAAATGACACTAACTGTGAATAAGTACTGTTTCTTTTACACTTCATTTATATGAATTAACATGTTTGTTGTTAGGCGTCTGAATGTTGCATTTTTTGGACCTCTATTTCCCAGAGTTACTGGGTAAAAACTAAGAATTGGAGCAAATTTCATATTCAACAGCCTTGCAAAGTACACTTTGCTGCATTTTGTGTTTTCTTCATAGAGGTAAAGAATAGCAAGTGGTATATTGATTTGTTTTGTTTTGTCACAGACGCCACCTTCAGGCATTTTGTAAATGCCAGAAGGACTGTTGATGATGAAGTGCATAGCTGTAAATCTCCTAGTTCATCCACATAACTTCTTCATCATCCCTTACTGATGAAACAAGATGACAGTCGAATTTGTCCTGATAAAGCAGTATGACTTCCGATCAAAAAACTACCATTCCATGATAAGTTAGTGCTGTTATTTAATAGCAAAATGTAACATTATTTAAAGAAAATCTCAGTAGTTCAACTTTGTTCATGAAGTCTGTCCATAAATATATCACACTATTTAAAGTATATTGTCTATGGCAAAAACCTTCTCTTTGTTTTGGTAGCACATGATACCTGGGTGGTTATTCTCCTCGGAAGAGGTGTCAGAAAACAGTTACTGTTATGTTAAAACTGAATAAGTATTTTCCATGGGGGGAAAAAAAATCTAGTTCTCTGTGGCTGATAACTGTAAACGGGAAGTATGCTTTGGGGGGAAAAAATATGTAACTTGATAAGCATTTATTTTAAAGCAAAGATTTACTGCCTTGTGATTCCTGTGATTTTCAGAATGTTGTTGGTGAGGGTGTTTTTTCTAAATCAGTATTTCAGAAAAATGTGCTGTCTGGTTTTCATTCATTTTGATATGTGATCCATAGATCTATGGCTGCTATTCTTCCTCGCTGTATTTAACTCTGTCTCTCATCATCTCTTTCTCTGTTTTCCTGCCTTTCTGTTGCCATCGCAAGTACTGAGAGTATTAAGGTGATAATTTTCTATAGGATAGGGATGTATTCATTATTCATCTCCTTCTTTGTTCTCCCTTCCCTTCTTATCTCCATCTTCCCACTAAGAAAACCAACATCCCTGTTCCATTTTGCTGTTCCTTGCAGGAACTGGCTTTGATGCAGATCTAAATGTAGTGGCAGGAAAGTTGGCGGAAGTGAACAGGTCCTCCTTGGTGCCAGTGGAAGTTAAAGCCTATATTAAATATGGCTGGGTATTTTCAGGAGGTCCATTTTGTATGCAAATAACACTATTAAATGTGTACAATATAAGACTCGTGTTTTGTCAATGTAGTTAAATTTTTTATTTTTTATTTTTTTTTTTAGGGAGAAGAAAGCCATAACTGATCCTTCTTTGTTTAAATACAAAGTCCAACCTATTAAAAAAGAACTATATGAAACTGTTATCGTTAAAGCATCTCAACTAAGGTAAAAATTAGTATATGAAAGTTAAAATTGTACTTTATAACTGCGAGTTGTTTAAGTCACTGTAAGTTGTTTTTGGTATAAAATGGTATTTTAAAATAATGTTAGAACTATTAGTTAAAGAAACTGCAACAAAATACTGTGTTTAACAGGCTATCTGTAGCAAGGGTCCTAAGCTTTACTAGTATTAACACAGATACCCACTCTTTACAAGTCTCGGCTTTTTTTAGCAAATGGAGGAGACCTGCTGTTGCTTCTGATACCTGTGCCTATGCTGTGTCTGATGGGAGCAGATGGAGTATGAAGTTTGAGAACCTTTTTCTCTAGTATTGATGAACTAATGGCATTGTGAGCTCGCTCTCTGGTAGCATTACTGGTTTAGAAACATTAAAGCAGACGTTGACAATCGGACTGCTTTGCTGCTTTAAAGCAGAAAGCTGCAAAGAGGTTTTGCTTCTTAAATAAGAATTTTGTCTTGAATTTAGTTAAAACATTTTTTTAAAAGTAGATTGTGCATTGAAACTTTATAAACTTTAAAAACCATTTATGAACTTCATAAACAAAGGATACTTTGAAAAAAAAACCCTTCAGTGATTTCAAGTCTTCTAGTTCTAGCATGAATAGACATTAATTTTTTCATTAACTACTCCTGTGTAGTTAATTTTCTCCTTCTCATGAAGTAGTGCAGGTTCCCTGGGATGCCAGGAAGCATTTAGAGCGCACAGTCGTATAGTGAGGAGTGCCACAGCCTGATAAAGCAGTGTGTGAATTCACCCCTCTCACTTGGTGGCTTGAGACATCTGTGCCTTACCTCCCCCTTTGAGATGTGTGAATGCTGCTTTCCTGCTGTTCTTGTTTGCTTGTTTGTTTTCACCGTCTTCTGAAGCAGTTGGACTTTAGTTTCATTTGGGATTTTAAAACCTATTGTGATACAAAAGAATGTTTGGAAGACCTAGCAGAGATGAATGGGCTGTGGAGTTGGTCTGTATCTTATGAAAGAGGACATACCAGATCTTCAAAACAAAAATTACAGATGTGTAAACCAATTGTTTAAGTATTGGGTTTTGGTTTATTCATAAGGAAATTTTTAATTGAATTGGGGTTGCAAAGAACGGCTGTTAGTTACAATGGTAAGAGTGTAATTTATAAATAGAAAAATGAGAAAAAGGTCAATCGTGATGTTACATGTGTTCTTGCACATATTGTCAACTGTACTTAATAATTAAAGATGTAGTTGATAATGCTGCCTTTCTTTCCTAATACAGCCGAAGGAAACATCTCTTTTCTCGTGATAGACTTAAACTTTTTCTGAAACAACACTGTGAACCACATGATGGAGTCATTAAAACTAAGGTAAATAAGAAGGAATAATTTGTGGGATAGAGCTTTTTGTAAGTATAATAGATTGAGTTAGTATTTAACTTTTCCAGAATAAAAGGATGAATACTGAACTCCATAAACTTGTAAAAACAGGTTTTTGTTAACTTTTGCTAGCAAACAGGATGGTAGTTCTTGTGTACTTGAAGCAGAATTCTCTATTCTCTAATTTCTTCTTTAGATACCAGTTTAGAAAAGTCCCTAAAATAAAAATGGAAGCTTTTATCTAGAAAAATGTTATTTGTTACAACATAATATATTTTTGCTTAGTCTAGCATATGAGTTGTTTTCATTCTTCAAGGTATGCAGCTGGTATTTCTAAGTCAAATAAAAATTAACTGTTTCTGTTTTGGTACTGTAAGCTGATACTATCCTGTTGTAATGCTTTCAGCTGGAAAGTATTTTACTGTAGATTGAATTCGGTCTCCAGTTCTTCAGTGAGACAAAAGTACTGGAGAATTCTGGTGGCTGGAATGGGCTTTTACGGTTGTCTTTTGTGAATTAATGATTCATTAATTACTTATATCTATGAAAAGGTAAGAGTTTCACAATTAATATATGTTTTCATCTTTCTTTTTAAGGCAACATCAATTGCAAAATATAATCTAGCAGAACAAAATTTCTCCTACTTATTTCCTGATGACCCACCCACATTTATCTTCAGTCCTGCAAGCAAACGGCGAGGGAGACCTCCAAAGAGGGCATCCAGTGGTCTTGTAAGTAATAACATTTTTCATTCCAGTTGAAGACACATCAGCGTAGTCTTTAAGTTCCTCTGTTTTTTCTGAACTTCCATAACAGTTGGAATATAAGGTTGTTGAGCTCTTCTGGTTTTTTGGTTTTTTTTTTTTCTTTAGGATGACTTGGGATATATTACATAATCGCTGTTAAAGTAGATTGCTTTACAGTTAAGCTGGTAGAAGGGATCATAATTGATAGGTTGTCTTCTTATTTTTATCTATTTTATTTTTGTGAGCCCACCAAGAAACTAGTTTTCAGTGTGCTGTGAAGGTGCATAGAGTACTTGTTGCTTCTGGACATGATTAATAAATAATTTCCTAAAAAACTTTAATTTGTACTCTTAGATACAGCTGTGTCACCTGCCCTCAGCTGCAGCTGTGGCACCTGCCTATCTTTAAATGCAGCAAAGCTTAGTGCACTAAGCTATTTAAACAGAAAGCTGGAAGAAAAAGGTTGTGTGTCACTGCTACTCCCCACTGTTAGTTATAATCTCTGAGGACTTTGTGGAAAACTCTCAGAACCTGTTTTTATTCTTTAGAGAACTGTTGGGAAAAAAATGAGAATATCTGTCGTTGGTCATTTCACTGTAGATATTATGTCATTTTTTTTTTTCTTCCCACTCCCCCTCCAAATTCTCTATTAGGAGGACAAGATGGTGGCTAAACGAAATCCACAAGGAAACAAAACTAAAGTAGCAAGGGAAAAGACAAGGTTCCAGAAGCAAAAAGAAGATATGCAGGCCATGGGTAAGTTGAGGTTTAGTCTTATTACTAGTAGAACCAGTCTTTACAGGTCTGAAAGCAGGCCATAATTAGAGTATTTTTGAGGTTGTACCTTTCAAAGGGAAAATGTAATAAGAGTGCACTGCCACAGCACTATTGCAAAGGGTTCATTTTGGTGGTTAGAATGGTTATTTCCTGAATTAGTGTGTGTTGTTTGGTTGTTGTTTTTTACATTACTGAACTGGGGAAACATAGGAAGCCTGTGGTCCAGCTGTGTTGCTTTCTATCTCAGAGAAATAAAGAGCAAAATAAATTTTTGCAGAAGTTTGGATTGTGAAATCATTTGTATCAAAACATGAACGTTTAACACAATCTGTTGTATGAGGAAAATGCATAAATGGAAGAACTACCCCAGAATTTAAAAAAACCTGCAGTTCTTCCTAAACCTGTAATAATCCTTAAGGGAATTGTTGAGTCTTTCTGAAGATGTCTCTGTGTAGATATTTAAGGTATGTCTAAATGTTCTTCAAGATTACTTACAGTATGCTTTCTAATTTTTTCTAATTAAAAGAGCACAGATCATTTTAGATACTTTTGTTTTGGACAGACTGCATTATTTTGTCTTGGTTTTGACCTGTTTCAGGTCTATTTAAACTTGATTTCAAATGAAATAAGGTGACCCACATGCCTTTTGTATGGGTTTAAGTAGGTGAAGTGGTGCATCTTGAGATAAAGCTCAGACAAGGAAATGTTTTTCTGGATTTTAAGCACTAATGTCCTTCCTAAGGAAAGGCTTTCATCTGTGGAAATACTTCAGTGAACTTCTGTTTTCTACCTCTCATTTCCATTATCACAGAATGTTTTAGGATGGCAGGAACACCTGGAAATTATCTAGTCCAACATCTGCTTAAATAACTGCAAAGTTGTTTGTGGCTGCAGAGGGCTGTTTTCCTCATAGGAGATTGGGACGCCAGGGTTAACAGGCTCCATTAAACTTGTGTGTCCACTTCTTTGTACAACTAGTATCTATTTGTTTATGTGCTGGAAAGAACAGCACAGAACAAGGTAATAGCTGGTCAACATCAAGGCTGCTTCCTTTCTTGTGTGGTGTTAACTACAGTTTCTAGAAGGCTAGTTAAGATGTTCTGGCTTAATTTTATCTTTGTGTTGTCCTTTTTGTACCTGAAAACCCAGTTTGCTGAGCGAGACACATTGCTGGCATGTGTACTAGCTATCTGTGAAATCGATCTAGCCCATTTTCAGAATTTTACAGGAAAATGTAATAAAAATCCTTTTGGAGTGCTGTCCACTTGGTAATAGGAAGTAAGGTTCTTTTTTAATTTACCTCACTTCTAATTCTAGCTTTCTTGTTTATTTAATTAAAATGGTAAGCCTCCTGCCCCCCTTTTATTTGTTAGCCTGTCAGTGGGTTGACAGTCATTGTCTGTGCACAGAAAGTGGAAATTTGTATCCTGCTGTTCTTCTGCAGACAGCTACAAAGAAATTGGGGTTTCCTCAGGCAGTAACATTTATTACCGATTGGAGTTCCAGTTAAACTGTGTAAAAAAAGTGAAACTTGCACAAAACCCACCGAAATACTAAGTAGGTTTCAAACATACTGACTCTTCAGCAATTCAGCAATAATTAAATATCTAAAGATCACTTACTTAAAGGTTTTTACTATCACAAATATTTCATGCTTATATGCAACACCTAGTTTTGACATGCTTTTATTAAGTAGTCATTACTAAATATGAAAGATGTTGCTGTAATTATATGTGGTTGGAATCAGTTCTCATCTTTATATGTCACTTGATAGAAACCAATAAACAAGTAATAAACTACTGTATACTCATAAAACCAGAGAAATTTGACTTTATTACAGTGATGACAACCTTGTAAAACATATAACAGGCTCAAAATTCTGATCCTCTGAAGAACTTTCAAGTGATTAAATTTCTGGTTGGCATAGAAACAATTCAGTCTTCATAACAATATCTTCTTCATGTGGGAATTATAAAAGCATCAGACTATTTAGCACACATAAAATTAACATTTTGTAAATTAAAAATAACTATGGTTTGGTTTTTTTTCTTTACAGCTTTTGAAAAAGCAAAATTAAAACAAGAGAAGGCAAATGCTATAGAAGCTAAGAAAAAGGAGAAAGAAGATAAGGAAAAAAAGAGAGAAGAATTAAAGAAGATTGTGGAAGAAGAAAGGATGAAGAAGAAAGAAGAGAAAGAGAGACTCAAAATAGAAAAGGAAAAAGTAATGCATTTGCAGTATATATTTTTCATGAGAAACAGTACAATGGCTTTCTAGTTTACTTGTTTCGTAGGTGCTGTCTGCTTCAAGTTACTTTCCTTTAACTGTTTTCAGTTCATAGAAATGCACTTTGGAAGAATAGGCAGTTATAAGATCTCTTGGATTTGTATTTTTGGATAAAATTCTCTATGTGAAAATTCTAGTTCACAAGAAGTTCGCTTTGAACTTGCTTCTGAAGTGATGTGGTGTGGTTTTTTTTGTCAATAATGCATGATAGTATTTGGTTTGATGGTTGTTTTCTATTTAAGTGTTAAAGACTGTACTGGATCAGATTCACAGTGTGTTCAGTTGTTTTGGGTTTCCTTGTGGTTTCTCTTTGGATGGAAGCTGCTAAATAACTTTTTGTCACTTTGAATATGAAGAAATTATTTATTCCACTGTATTTTGCCACACCCACTACCTATTTTGATGATCTTTTTTTATGACAGCTTGTATAAATACTTCTTTCTTTTTTTAAGATCTTTTTTCCCCTCATATGCTTCCAGTAATAAAAATAAAAAAAAAAAATCCCCAACAACAAAACCCAAAACCAGCCAAACAACAAAAACCCACCAACATTAATTTAATTTAAATTTGATTTTATTTTTTGATTAAGATAGTAAATGACACAGTTCTAGAAACCATAATAGGGCATTCTGACCATATTTTATATACAATTGTGACACTCTTT